GAGAGAGAAAACACTAAAAACCTTGAAGGATGGTTCTCAAAAATACTAAAGGAACCACAGGGAATTCCTTTTGAGAGCAACAGAAAGCAGGCTAGCTGAGGTAAGGTAGATGTGGACAGTCTTTTCCTTCTCTTTTCTTCCTTCTCTGTCTCTTTCTGTGTAAGTCTCTCTCTCTGTCCCCCCTCCCTTCTCCCATTCTCTCTCTCTCTCTCTCCCTCCCTTTACATTCATATGTTCTGTCTCTCCCTCTCTCCTGCTCACTAGCTGTTTCTTTATGGATCTGGGAGGGCGGGTGGGTGGGGGAGCTACCTAACTTCTTCCCTGCTTAAGCAATCTGAGAACGGAACTCATGTGAATATGCAAATAGGACTGCCTGGCCGCGTTGCTGACACGTGTATGTGTTGTATCTCTCTCCCCACCTCCCTGTCTTAGCGTCTGATCTTCAACAGATTGCTGTTGTTTCTTGTGATCACCAGCACAGCGTGCTGGAAAGAGAGATGGGGGGGGGTGTGGAGAGGTGGGGATTGGAGGGAGTGTTGTGGGGCTGGGAGGCAGGAAATCATGACATGATTGCTGTGACTTTTTTATATTAATGTGTGGCTTTTTTCTAGCTCATTTGCATGTCAAAGTGGTGGAGGTGTGAGGGCAGAGATTAGTATGGAGATGACATAATGATGCAATGAATTAAATGTGATCACTTCTCTGAGCGGGGGTGAGGTGGGGGGGGCACGAGGTTGGGAGGGGGGTAGCCAGTAAGACAGACGGAGTGAGGGAAGCTAGCGAGAGGGGAGCGCTGCTTCTGATCTGCACCGCACAGTTGATTGATGTCACCAGCTCGCAGAATGCATCTTTTTATTGTGATGGTGGTGATGGTGGTGGTGGTGATGCTGATTGCGATGATTACACTTACCGTTAGTGTGAAATTTGAATTTTAAGTGGTCAGTGCTGGAGCTCCAGCGCACGTGATTATTTGGTCCATCAGTGCAAACCCTTTACTGTCAAATTTTAACACCGCTCCACATTTGCTTTTATTAAAAAAAAAAAAAAAGACGATGCAACCTACAGGAAAGAGAAGATTGCTAATCTGTGATATTACACAGTGGGCTGGAATACCAAAGCTTTTCATGTGGCTTCACTTCTATTTTTTGAGTATGCAAAAAAAGGTTGGGGGGATCTAGATTAAAAACATTTTTATTATTATGAAGAAAAAAAGAATCTTTCATTGGATCGGTGGGGTGGCAAAGGTTTCAACCAGTGACAATAAAGAAAATGCAATTTCATCTCTGGCATTCAGCGATATCTCCCTTTAATAGCAAAACCAAACCAGACTGATGGCTGAACAAAGCAAATTCTCAGGCGGCTGGTTGCAGGTCTGAACGCAGGAGTAAAACCGAAACATTTTTTTCCCCCTCCTTTTGCCTATTTTATATGCAACACCTGAAAATATGTACAGTATAGTTGTAAAAGAGGGGAAGAGGAAGAGTTGTTTTTTTTTAAACACTTCTATAATTAAAAAAAAAAAGAATATAAACACAGACCACAAAGGTCTTTTAGACTTGGGAGATTTATTTGTTCCAGAAGTCAAAATCATTCTGTCTGCCACTAAGTTTTCTTCTGATTAGTCTGGTCTACTGCTTCTTTGGGAGGATGGACTTCCTACAGTATAGACAAATCAGTATAGAAATTAAGGACTAATTGTTATGTGTGCAATAACCCTGATGATATAAATGAGCACTTAAGAATCCACAGAACATCACTAACATAAATTTATTGAAAAAGAAAATCCAAAGCAACTCCATTAGTTTTTCTCTGTTATTGTTAAGGACTTTAAATGGATTTCCTAATTGGATAATTTTATTCACAAGAATAATACACAAATGGAAAACAAGCCCTAACTCTGGGGTGGGGGTGGAGTTGGCCTTTAGAAGGAGGAAAATCTCTGGCAGAGCAAACCACCATCAACTTGGAAAATAAACCTGCTCAGGGTGCCAGGATGGAGGGTAGAGAATAGCACGTATGCGTGAGAACCACCTGACCCAGTGCGGCTGGGGGAAGTAGAAGGATGTTTTTAACATGTTCAGGCAATACAGAAGATAAATGCACTCGCCTCATTTTTATGATATTTAAAACAGTGTCCATCATTATTGTCCTTCTTCAATCACATGCATTTCAAATTCGTTTCGTTCTGTTTTCCTAGGATGCAGCATCCCTATTCCCCTTCCTTGATTCACTCTCATCCACATCTTCAGCATTTTTCTGTCCACCAAGTCCATCTATCTGGAGATGCACTTGGACTCGCCTTGCTCCTCTTCCTTTTCCCAGATGAAGGCAGCTGTGCTTACTATAAACTTGGTCTCACCAATTCTGTGCATGGACACTATTAATAGAAGAGCGTACGGTGTCCTGTGCTTACACCCCTTTCCTGCCAAATACATGCAATACATCAAGACAGTCAGAGGAAAGTTCTGGAGTGCTGGTCTTGAGCAGCTTTCCTCCGACACATCAGCACCTGTATCCTTATTCTCCCTGTGTCCCCAGGTAGTACTGTGGCCTCCTCTGTGTCCTGCTTTCTCCTTGCCTTAGTCTTCTATGCCAATAAAGAAGAAAGGCAGGGATGAGGATTGTTACTATTGATCTGCCCAAGGGGATCATTAGGCATCCGTATCAATCTACAAATCAGTGGGCCTGTGTTACTAGCTTGGGCAGTCATTGCCAATTTGTTCCTATTAGATGGCTGAGCCTGGAGGTGTGTGATGAGCAGATTGGGGCTTTATCTCAGCACCGGAGAGGATGCAGGCTTGCTGACAGACAGCAGAGGTTCAACGGAGTTTTGTTTTGGGGGTGGGGAGAGCGCAAGGGAGACAGGGATGCTTATGAGTTTTTTTTTTTGTCCTGAAAGCTGTCTGCACCTTAACTAGACCACCAGGGTGGACCCTACCCCATCCTAGTTGGAACTGGCCCCTGCATCACCACCTCCAGCCCTGACATCTCCCCGGAAAACTGTCCACAGAAACATCTTCTCTTGTATTCTTTTGTGATCCTTTTTGGGATCGGCATCAGAACAATTGAAATGTAAACATTTTTTTTTTTCCTTTTTCCTCCTCTAGCAGTATATTTACAGTTGAGCAGGTGACATTTTTAGCTGATATTTTCTCTGTAGTTCAATTGGATAAAGCAAAAGTTAAAGCTGTGGATAATTTTGTTTGGGAAATCATATTTACCTTTTTTTCTTTGAACCGAAGTCTAGGAGGAAGTGTGTTCTCACTGCATTCTTGATGAGTATTGTTTTTTAATCTTTAAAGATCATCCTTGTCTTGGGCTTTCAGAGAGCAACAACTATGGCAAAAGCCACATTCTCTCACATGCATGTAGATGTGAAAAATAAAAATTATGTTTCCATAGGGGGAAGGGGAGGGAAAAAGGATAATGAATGAATAAGCACAATTTATGTCGTTACCGCTGCTAGCGTGACATTTCCTCTTCATTATTTTGTGAAAACCTCAATTTTAAACCTGGTTTTACTCATTCCTGACGTGAGCATTATTCAGTATAAATATCTGTCCATTGCCAGGCCTCGGTGAAGCTCCCAGTGACATTTCTGCTTTATAGCTTTCTGCTGGGGGTGGGGGGGGGAGAGACCAGGAAGGTGGGCTGATGCGGAGAGGGAGGGAACCAGGCAGCCTCCACTTCCTGGGAGCTCTGTTTTTATTCAGCCACTGAGTTTGTTCCTTGTGAATAATAATCTGTTCTTCTCAGCTGGGGTTGGGGGGGCAGTGGCTAAAACAGCCCAACTTAAATTGAATACTTAGCCCTTACCATCTGCTTGTGAAATTGCTCATCACTCCAAGGGGGGACAAAAAAAAATGTGTGTGTGTGTGTGTGTGTGTGTGTGTATGTGTGTTTTTAAACAACCTTTCATATTTTTGAGTGTTGAACATGAGACAGTCGTGTTTATAGTGAACACCCATTGCCAAGTGGTTTTGGTTTGCTTTTGGTGACCCAACATATTTTAACTTGCTTTTTAAAAAAAAGGAAAGCCCCTTCGGCACTTTAGAAGACTTTCAAGTTCTTATTACTATGTATCACTTGGTACTGGCATTTTCTCACCTGTGGGTTGGTTGGTTGGTTTGTTTAGTTTTCCTGGCCTGTCCCCAGTTCATCCACTCTAAAGATGCACGCACTTCATTCCCTCCGACAGGAGCCTGCTTGTTGGTGGTGGTGAGTGGCTCACACAACTTCACAGAAACACATCTGTGTGGAGTAGATGATTTTGGAAGTTAAACTGTTTTAATTTATCATGGACCAGACCTCCAGGCCGCTTTCATCTTTGTGGCAAACGTATAGAAATCGATTTGGAGTGGACTCAGAAGAATGTTGTAAGAGTTGGTTTTGCAAATATTTATAAACCTAATTTCTTTGGAGTGGAGTCTTCTGAGAGAATGGTCACTGTACGATTAGGCACAGAGTTCACTTGGAGGAGGATGCTGCCAAAATCTGTTGTTTTATAGTGAAGGGCTGAGAATTCAGATTGGTTTGCCAGTGACACGCTGTCAAAGCCAGAGATATCTGGAGAGGTATTTTATTAATCCTTAGGATCCCCTGTCCTCGTTTCTTGAATCAATGAGAACTTCACAATGAGCGAAACAAACAACCCGGGTACTCTGATTTTCCACTGAAGGACAGAAAATGGACCTTTTTGCATGTCTCTTTAGCAGGGAAGGGAAACCCATAATTTTCTCATCACACAGGGCTTATTACTTAAAGATGTTGACAGTATGTAGCAACTTCATAGGAACTTTTAATCAGCCAGAGGCTGGCCCATCAGCCAGGACATTTATGACTTCGGATTCACCAGGCTCACAAGCCATCTCTGATTTCTCCCATTCTGATAGAAAACATTTTGATTTCTTAACATACGGTTTATCTACCCATACATCTCCCTAGTTTTCCCTGTTTTATTTAGTGTGGCTTCTTATGTGCCATTTCTTCATGAAACAATTGGTACATTCTCAGCACGCTGTTCTGAGTCGAGAAACCTCGTCTAGATTAATGGTCAGTGTCGCACACACACACATCTGTGTTGTGATAGTACAGAGGCGC